AATTATATACAAAAAATACTAAATTTAATTCTCAGCTCACTTTACCAATTATTACTATATACTTGTTAATAGAATAATATACATACTTATATATACTATATATAAACTATAATATAATATATAATATGGTAATAAACTGGGTGCATAGCGATAAATATCTCGGCATCACGTTGGACAAACGATTCACATGGGTTAAATATGTTCAACTGAAAAGAAGCTGTGTCAAAATTCTTCATCAATAAGAGAAGGAAACTGATATATAACCAAATAATTCGTCCGTCACTTCTATATGGATGTGCAGCGTTTAGCAAAGCTTCAAACATTACTATTCGCCAGTTAGAAACTGCACAAAGTCAGGCTCTGAGAAGACTTTTCAAAGTACTATGGAACATTAGGACGAATGACATCCTCAGGGACCTCAAGATTGAAACATACATACATCAAAAAATGCATAAAGGATAGAGCCCTGATATTATTTGCGAAAACTGACAGACTTACCAACACCGCGTTTTCAAATCTCAGAATGGTTACAGGTTTCTCGGGGAGGTATGCAGAACTGAGGTCAATTATTGCTTAGTCTGATGAAGTGATAAACAATAATCCAGTGCAGTAGGAGGTCAGCAGTTATTTATTCCCTTCTCATAGTTAACTATTTTTCGCTGTTTTACTACCATCATTTTGATCATTTAATCATTTTGAGTTTAGATAATTTAACGGATATTTCTTTCTACCGATTATCAGTCTGACAAATTGTCAAAGAAGTGTTTTCCTACAAACATGTTTCTTGAACGCTAGATCAGAGCAGTCACAAAGAAAATACATTATTATGTTTTCTCTACGACTGCTGTCGTGAGTATTAAGAGGTTTCTCTATACCAGTAACCAGAGTTGAATGCAATAACCCAAACAGTATTCGTGCGGTTCCAATTAAGGCATTATCAAGATTGGTATTTTATATGGAGGTCGGATTATTTCTAATATTTTTTTTTAATCTATGTGTAGGTAAGTGGTATCCAATATAACAATTGTCTAAATAAAATTAAAAAATAACTCCTATAGTAATAAGTTAATACATTTGTAATATATTTTTATTTTTAATCTAAAGACCTTTCCTGGTGTGTCATTAAGGATGGCATTGCTTATTTTGAAAATAATTTTCGTTAAAGTTATCGTGTTTTTCTTTAAAGTATCATTAATATATATGATCTTGGAGTCATGACTATAAAAATGATGATATTTAATTATCATTTTTACTGTTTATGTTCAGTGTTTATGTTTATTACTGTTTATGAATAAGATGATTATGATTATGATATGATATAACGCCGTCCTTTGTTTATTCGTACGCCCAATGCCATGACCATAATTCCTAACGTATAGTCGCGTAACAAATTCCACACTCTTTAGGATATCTAGTATTCTTCAAATTCCTTATTATTTATGATATCTAATGAGTTTCTAGTTGCCAATTGAAGATGTTTTATACTTCACTGATATTTGGTTGTGGCTCAATGATTAATTGTCAAACAGAACATCATATTATCATATTATTTGACTAATTTTTATTAAGAACTTAAGAGTATGAGTTTCTAAACCTATCATCTATTATCTCTTGGAAAAAAATAAATATTTTTATATCAAGTAAAATTTGAAAATTATCAATAATAAATTCTCTGAGAGAGAACGTAAAAATTTGAAAATATTTTGTATCAAAAGCAAGCGGATCATTCCGTAGTATGGAAAGATCAACTAGAATTCTCATGGAAGGAGGGTCAAAACTCTCACATTCTTTATGTAGTGATATTATTAAAATAATTTGAGAAATTCCATTTACGAAAATTAATAGAAAAATTCTAACAAAAGTACTCAGTGAGTTAATAAATAAATTTCGTGATTTAGTATAAATAATTTATTCTAAATGTCTACATCGAGTTTTACGTGTCGAAATTCCAAAAAAATTTTAACGCAGTAATTAATAAATTTTTTTTTAAAATTTGTACTTTATTATATTTAAAAAATCATTTCATACATTAAATCATACGATTTTTTTATAAAATAATTAAATTTATTACAAACGGAAAATACTGTCGCTTTTAAGTTGGAAAAAACGTTTATTAAGCGGTAAAGTATTTGTTTAAAAAAAAATAGTGATATTGTTTTAGTGGTACCCTACATTCGGTTTAGTATTCATATAGACCATTATAAAAACTAAAATATTTTATAACCGAATGTAGTAGACTTCGGATAAATCTTAGAAAAAGGGTACTAAATGGTTTAAAAATTTTTTCTTCTCCTCTACGATTTTAAGATATCAATAATGTGGCATATATAAACGGCGTTGGTGAAATGCCGATTACACTACGATCTTAATTTTATTTGTCTATATTCAAGTAGTCTATGCTAAGTATGCTAAGAATTTTAGAAATGTTGTCAAAAAAATATATATTAATTGTCATAGTATTGTGATACGAATAATTCTAGATAGTTACAGAAATCATTCTCTGAAATTTGGTAATATCCGGTGGAAAAAGTTGCTTAAAATAACTGGCGTGTTCGAAAAATCAGAATAATGCCCATTTATTAACTCTCTGTTTTGATGAATTGAATCACTTATAGCTAAAATCGTAATATTTTATTAGAACATCACAAAACACAATTGAATCCTATACTAAGTAAGTTTATAACCGTCAGACTTGTTGCTCTCCAATGTACCAAATGTAAAAGTATATATATTTATTTTTAATCATGAATTGTTGGGTGTTCTCAATAGGTCCTTTATTTGCAGACTGCCTATCTATTATTGATTTTCCAAGCTAAAAATAAAATCATCCATGAGACAGTTCAAATGGAGAAATGTAATACGATATTGTATACCAATATTTTTATTAAGATACAATATTGATATATCAATATTGTACACCAAACTGTCATCAAAGCATGAGTATAGAGTTGAAATCACAAATTAAGATTACTCATCTATAAATAAGATTAGTATAGTCGACAACGGTATTCCAATTTAGATTTCAGTCATACTGACATTACAGTTTTGAGCTGGCCAGATCAGGCATTGCCATTTTGTCAAACGTAAGATAATCTGAGATAGCTATCTCAATCCCGTCCGACAAAAAACAATCCCAAAAAAAAAAATTATTTGTAGGTAGAATAAAACAACCATGGCAACTTTAACCGAAAATATGCAATAAAATAATATATATTCTTATAAGTTCAACAAACATCAGTGTCAATCATTCATCCTTATACGTCTTTGATTTATAAGTATGCACTAGATTAGATACCCTTAGTAGAAACTTGTTTCAAAGCTGTGGAAATAAGAACATGGAAGAAGCGATTAAACACGTTCTATGACTCGGCTTTCTTTAGACAAAGTGGAACTGCTATTCTGAAGAATAGGCAGTACTAGGTTTAGTCAGTTCAAAAAGATTTCTACTTAAAAGAAAATAGATTTTTACTGGAAGAAATAAGAAATAATATTGAAATCAAAATAAGACCTTCAGTGGTATCAATACTGCACTGAGCTTGTATTAGTCTCAATAATTCTTGTGGTTGGATGGAATCGGAAATCCAATCTAAGTTCTGAATTTATAAACTTAACATTGAAATACTTATTTATTATTGAGAGTTTTAATAGACAGACATAGGTACTATATATCTCAATAGCTTCGAATTCGTTGTTTGTTTCGGTGATATAAATCTCTACCGGCTTGAGACTGAGTTTAAAATAGGTCTCCTTTTATGTAATTATCAAAATAAAAATTGTCCCCAAAACTGACAAAAAATGTCATAACAAAAATAAAATTTCATTTCATGAATTTCAAGGGAATAAACCAATGGATGTACATAAAGATTTTAATATCTAGTTTTTGCAGAGGTCCTATTGAATCGGCGTTATGACAACAAAATATGTAATTTTTGATTGCGATGGAGGCAGTGATGATGCATGGGCCTTATTAATGCTTATAAAGGCACATCAAGAGAAGAGAATTGTGTTGCTAGGAGTAACCATTTGTGGTTGCGGTAATACCGATTTGGAGAATGCAGCTAAGAATACATTACGTATATTAAAAGCGAGTGATAGTCTGAATGTGAGCAGAATTGAATCAGTATTTTCACATAACATATTAAAATAGAATTAAATATATAATTTTTTTAGATACCTGTATATCTTGGTGCATCAGACCCACTTTTACCAAAAAGGCAACAGGAAAGTACTTTCAAATTTCATGGAGAAGACGGATTTGGCGACGTGTTAAATGAAGACGACTTGAATATAAAAGATTTTATATCGGAGTCAGAACACGGAGTTTGTAAAATAAATGAACTTTGTAGTGCGGTGAGTTTCTGGTTCTGAATCTATTTTAAGAGATTTCAAAATTAAAGAATTTATAATTAGTTTGTTGTTCTCGTATATACCGTATAGAAACCAAAACAAATAACTTTGATATCTACAGGGCCATTAACTAATATTGCGTTATGTTATGCGATGTATCCCAATTTTGCCAATGACGTTAAAGATTTATTTATAATGGGTGGCAACTATCAAGGTAACTTTCTAGACATTTATTAACTTATATAATTATACGAAATTCCATATATTTATAAATTTTCAGGAGTGGGCAACTTTACACGTGCTGCTGAATTTAATTTTTATTGTGATCCAGAAGCAGCACATATTGTGCTGGAAAAATCAATTTGCCCGGTAACGATATTACCTTGGGAACCTTGTATGAGTGATCGTTTTGCTGTGTATCTTGTAAGGCAATCATATTTAAAAAAAATGTATGCAGATTTTAATTAAATTTAATTTTAGAACTGGCGTCTAGAGGTCCTAGGACCATTGGCAGAAACCTGCAATGAAGCTATAAAAACTTTAAATAAAGTTGAGCATGCTCAGTACTCTACAGCGGGCTTTGAAGTCTGGAATCCCTGCGATGCCATGTTAACTGCTGTCTATCTTTTTGAAAACCATGCTGTCAGCAAATCAAACAAATGGCACGCTACAGTCGATGTTTTAGGTGGTCATACACGAGGTCAAATGGTTTTGGATCATTTGCATGAAGTCGATAAAAATCCGAAAAATGTGCGCATTATTGAAGACCTTAATGCTGAGTTTTTCAAAACTGTTGCAGAGTGGACTGTGGGACTGAAGACATTGAATATATAATACTGAAACTGTAGATTAAAAGTATTCATGATTTCAAAAAGAAAATAAAATTACTCGACAAAATAAACAAAAAATATATTCTTACCATATTACCAAATTCTTTATTTAATTTTGTTTTAAGGTTAATATATTTTGTAGCTACCAGTCAGTTCATAGGAAAAGTCTATGATTATATTTGTAAATTACGTTGAATTAGATTCGTTATAAATCAAATTCGAATATCAATGAAAAAATAATGAGTATGATTTTGATGTATATATTTTTTGGATGCTACTAGATTGTTGTACTTCATTGTCTTGATTGTTAACAAAGCAAAATCTATAACAGTATCCATACATATGATGTAAATGTGAAATCACAACTCTTGCAATACAGCATTTCTCAACATATCTTTTGACAATACATTTTTAAAAGAAAAGTAGACCTCATAGAGCAATCCGTATGGCGGGTGTCTCATGCCTAAAACATCCATTAAAATAGAAAAAAATGATTCAGTTATATTAAGGTCCCCAAGTCTCTCTGTCTTGTTAAATATAATAGATTTGATTTAAATCGTGGTCATGTCCATAATTTCTTGTTTTTCTAATATTTTGAAAGTTGAAACAATGTCATGTTGTTCCAAATATCATGTTATTATTATTCGATTATTTTGTTCATTGGCAATATTAAAGTGAACTAATTTTACCAGCTATATAATTATTTGTCAATAAGCTTAAGCCGTGTACGAGTTCGAGTAAATTGAGGTAAAGTAAATTAAAATTTTCTAAGGATTTTTTGCACTGCACTTATGTAAATATTTATTTATTTATTTATTGCATTTATTTATTATTTTTGGTTAAAAGTTTTCAAATTAATTTATTAAACATCTTATAAAATTTTCACAATTTTAATACCTAATTTTTATCTAATTTACCCTACTTGAAATACCAACATTCGCTGCCATACCGACATAATTTACTATATCCATAAATTTACCATCAATTTACTCGAACTCGAACAGTCTTAATAGATTATAGTCATTTATTACATAATAAATGGGCTGAAAACAAAATCAACGCGAGACGAGCGTAAAAGTAAAACCGCAGCTTTACAAAATCGGACTTAAGATTTTCATGATTAATTATATAATAATCATAGCAAAATGGTTCTATTTTAAGATTTTTTTGTATTGACAGTTGTCACTGATCACTGACAAAATCACTAGATTAGCACTGTCAATATGATTTGCATATTCAAGATTTCGTATTCAAGATTTGCTCACAATACTTATTTCAGTATCTATTATATATATCATTGAATCTTTCATAACACTTTAAGTAAATTTATTTTAAACTTTCATATTTACCAAGTTAATTATATTATACCATAATAAATTACGTTAATTTATTTATGTATATTAACAAACTTTTCACTCTGTTAGCCGCAACTGTAGTCACTTCGCCATAGAATTGTGTGGTAAGCTAATAAAAAAAATTACACTTTATAACACTGAAATCAAGCAAACGAGTACAAAACAAAGAAAATACTCAGCACAACAAACTTGTTAAATGTCTGTGTTAAAGCAAAAAGCAAGAAAACAGTACACAAAACCAACCACCATCAACAACAATAGCTCAGAACGAATCCAATTGGAGAAGCGTTGGGACGTATGCGTTGGTCCGTCGTGCTCCTCGTATGCCAGTAGCGCTGTTTTTCCAAATAGTCGGAGGCTTAATATTACTTCTTTTTTTATTACATTACATATATTACATAGTTAGTTCGATCGCCGGTGATTTGCATTTACAACAATTAGAAAGTGAATTAACAGTATTAAGACAACAACTGCAACAACAAATCGCTACACAAGACTTAAGAAAATTATCTGCAACAAATATGCAAAGCACAGACGATGCAAAATTTATAAAAAAGTGAGTGTGTGTGTGTGAATACAATTAAGAAAATGAATGAAAATTAATTCAGAATTTTTAAAAATAACGGAATTTTATTACGGTTTTTAATTTAATTTGCAAAAAAAAAATGGAAATTTATTTGAAGTGCAAATATTTACTCTAGGAAATATAACGAAATTGCAAAAAGAATTTTCTTACCTTGTTTTAGCAGCTTTATCGATTTTCCATTTCCCTCGTATTTTCCACGCACAATCACACGCACACGTATGCGCCAACCGCTGATTGTGTGGTGGTTCTAGTTAAGAATTTTCCTTTAATTTTTTATTCTTTTGATTTTGAATTTTCAAGTGTAAAATTCTTTCGTGACTTTGTTATTTGTTTTTGTTATTTTATTTTATTTTAAATAAATTTAAAATTATTTAAAAAAATATATTATAAATAAATTTTTAAGAAAATGTTTCGTGTTATTTAATATTAAAAAAAAAAAATTGTGTTTTTCTTTCACTTTGCTGTGACGCGTACCGCTCAGACGTTGGAAAGGCGGTACGATTGAACCACATCCAACGGAAAAAGCTTTGATAGTGAATTATCAATTGGAAGCGACAGTTTTCGGCGATCCAAATAAAAATCCAATGATAGAGGAAAAGAAGGTAAGTAAAGTTGCGGGTGGTAACGGGCAGTGCATATATGATTAAGTAATAAAGAAAAGCAAGAGTAAAAACCCATTTGCCAAGAAATCACAACAACAAAGAAGAAAGAAATTATTTACTATGCGAAAGCAGAATGTCGCAGACAGACAGACAGACAGAAATACAAACAGACCAAAAGACAGACAGACATTGTTCCTATTAACTTGCATAAACGAGGGAAGCTTAATCAAATAATTTTTTTTTTTTTATCAAACAAGAATTATTTATGTTAGCAGAAGCTTAGCCCTTTTCACACTGCAAAGCATAAGCGCCTACAGCCGTGTTAAGCACACTCAGTGAGGTTTTGCCTGCCACTTTGAAAGTCAATAAAGGCACAAAGAGTTTAAAAATGAATTACAGCATTTGAGGAAATTTGAGGAAAACTCTGTGGAAGACAGTAAAAGCTTCACAAATTTAATTTCAAATGAAATTGAAAACTCTACTGATGAAAATCGAATCCAATTTAAATTCAATTTCGCTTTTAATTATCGCCTTTTCACTGACTCATTCAATGGGTGGCAACCTGATTCAGAGCATAGCTGGTAATGTTGTTGTCTTAGCAGTGCTAAAGTAAGAAAATAAATAAAAATATAAACAAATACATCTACCACATTATGTTTTCTATATCACACTTTTTATTTCATAACACAAATATATCTTACACCTTATAAGAACCCATTGCTCATATCAAGATTTATGAGGACTAACAACTCTAAATGCTACATTGAGTAGATACATATCATTTATCTCTTACTATTAACATATATTTATTATATTAAAAATCGACAATTGTGCGCTGCAACATATAATATATACTATTGATTGAAAAATGTTCCGAATGGAGGCATAGAGGGGTATAGACTATTAAAAAACTCTTTAAAATTATTTCTCTGAATTTACTAGATTTTTTTTGTTTTTATGAGAACGTTATGAATGCACTGAACTCTTTCTTTATATTATACGGCACTATTAAAGCTAACCACTAAAATTGACATCCTGATTTTTATAAAATCTATTGTTGTCAGCATTCTATAGTCCTATATTTGGAAGGTGATTGCATATAGACTTTATCCTTTATAGATAATAATAATTATCTTTCTTTCAATTGAAAGAACTATCTTTGGAAGGTGATTGTTATAGACAATATTCCATATAGAGAATATCCCAAATAGACAATATCCCATACAGATAATATCCCATATAGACAATATGCTTATCATTATCTTTCTTTTTATTAAAATAATAGGAATAAGTTTTATTGAGTTATTGATGTTTTTCATTTATTTTAACATATTTTAAATTTATTAATGAATTGTATTTATAATATTCTATGGTGCAAGTTTCCACACATTCTTTCGTTTAATTAGCATAGAGATCTTTGTTTACGACCTTACATCAGTGACCTGTAATTCATAGATTACTTTGGGGTTTTATTAAAACACAAAGATATTTATGTTTGTTTTATTATATACTTTCAATTTTGATTTTAGTCAGAAATAACTGATCACTTAAAATATTTGATATTCATTCAAATTGTTCAATTTATTGTAACGTATATGGTTACCATAATAATTGACATTCTTCCAGTAAATATCATAGATCTATATATGAAGTTATGATCTTGTACACATACATATATGAATATTAGAGAAACGAACACTTTCAAAATAATATTTTCTAATGAATTTGATGTTTATAGTTAGGAATATTAGTAATAATAAGAGTAAGATGAAGACAGGACCTCTCTATAGAGCACTGCGTTAATGTTTTTTTTTCTAAATAGGTAAGACCCAAATCGAACAGTTGAAATATTGACTACCTTCAGAAAACGAAAACATATTATTTGCAAAATGAAGGCCAAAATATATTTTTTCGAGAAGTTTCTCATTACCAATGACTCTACTGAAATTCTTATTAATTAATGACGATAAACAAATAGTTTTTAAAGTAGTTTTAGGTTACTGAGCTCATGGCTCCGTAACCTCATATTGGCCCAAAAAAAAAAACGCTTAACAGTCACAAAATTAAACAAACAATATTAATAAACAATATTATCCGTTAACAATGATAAAAAAATAACAGTAACTGATATGATTAAAATATTAGACAGCTCAACCTCTTTAAGATGATAGCTGAGGTTAATATGGCCTGCTGGGTAACCCATTAATAACTTTAGCTCTGTTTTTTCTAAAGAAATGGCTTACTAAAGTTAACTGTATAGTAAAGAAAGTTTTCCAATTAAAATATTAAAAATTTGGGTATGGTTGACCTAGTAAAACTGTTATTATTCCTAATGAAATCATGATGACTTACAATAGGTAGCTAAGAAAGTGAGGTAAATCGCACAGTCGTAACATGACGGGTCTCGGTCGTATGCATCTCCCAACACTTTTTGTGGTCGGGATAGACATAATAATAATAAATACAAATGAATGACATATCTCTTGCTGAGTAAGTTTGCAGTAGCAACGTAGCTACGTACATTTTTTATATGGGACACTCCCTATGTATGATATAAGTTTATCCATTGGGAAATGTTGAAATATGGTCTTTAAAAAATTTTTTTTTCTAGTTAAACATTATTAATTAGTTAAGCAATTAACAAAAAAGTCCATATTTTCACATTGTTATTTAAAAAGTCTTAATTTACCTAAAGCCTGCATGATTTTTCCGTGGCATCTAAAAATTAAACTTCCTGTTTACACTATTACAAGCCCCTTTGGATTGCCCCAATCCGCTGCAGGGATACATTCTAGCGTCCTAGTAAAAAAAAACAATTATGCCTCTCTCAAGTACTTCCCCTCCTCCGACAATAGCTCCATAAACAGCGTTGCTCTTGTTGTATTTCCTATTTTCATTTATCCTTCAATATTCATTTCAATGCATTCACTTGAAACAATGTCAATTGCTGCTTTTAGCCCGTTTTCATTTTCTGCTTCGAGAGGTCCTTACGAGCTGATGCAAATGAAAGCAAAGTAAAAAGTTTTTCAAGTTGGAGGATCTCGATGTGGTCAACAGTTTTGTTAACAATTTTCTGTGTTTATTTCGCTTTTAGTATTGATTTTTCTCAATTCCACTTTAGTTTGAAAATTCATTTATACATTTATTCTGATTCACCACACGTGCGTGTTTCAACCCTTCGGTCCTTCGGTCCTTCGTACCTTCCGTAGCTCCTTAGTTGCCTAACAGTAAAAATTTTTCTCCAACTACTGCACTCGACTATTGTTTTAAGGCCAAAATTTCCATTTACTTGTAGTTCCTTCCTTCTGCGCTACCGTATTTGGGCTAACCAGTACGATTTAGGCTAAGTGCGCTGTAAATATAGAGAATTTGAAGCGATTTACTGAAAATGGCTACTAACAATTTCGTCATCATAGCAACTGACATGTGGACAAACTGACAAACGTGTATACGCTGAGGAAATTTGGCTCAAACAATCATTTTGTGTTGCTTAATGTTGCACTCCGATTTGGCCAAGACTGCTTTTTGCTGCGGATTATGTGAATCGCTCAGATACTCGCTGGCATGGAATGGAATTATGCAGTTAATAGCTTTTTGCGCTTTTCAATTTTCATTGCTAATTAAAGACTTTTGAGTTATCTCATTGTTTATGTATTAATATATACATATATATTTATGTATTATTTAATAATATTTAATAAGTTAACACACATTCGTTGGAGCAATAAAATTATTATTTTGTTGCATTTATTAAAAAATTTGTGATGCATAGCAAATTTACTATTTTTGGCCGGGGGCCTCGTTACGTTAGCCACCTGTCCAAGACGTCTTGCCATATTCGGATTGGCTTTGTGTTATGAGGCATCATAGATGTGCGAATGTTATGATTCATGACTCATGATTCGGGTCAGTTTATTGGCTTTCCTAACGTTTATTTTTGTTTTTTTTTTGTTCATTTGGACTGCGCAGTTATACTTTTGCCGTTTTGTTTTTATTTCGACATGGCGATTATAATTCTTAACAGTTGCTTTGATAAAATGTATTACTTAAACAAAACAAGACAAATACTATAATAAAAAACAAGTTGATTAAAAAGTAAAAACAATGAAAATTTAGGAAGTGAGTCAAAGCACCTTCGTATGCATTTATACTAGGGTTCTGTGACCTTTAAATTTAAAATATACTTGAGACACAATACTACCGTTGCAATAAGAGTGTATAAATAACTGAAGGAATAACTAGAAATCCGATGGAAAATGAAAAATTTATTTATTATAATAGTATGAGCTATATACCTATATATTACCAGATATATTGTACAGTCCAACAATCAGGTCAAAATATGACAACTGCCGTGGGTTTGATTTTAGCTAAGTCCTCGAAATTAAAATACTAGACCCGAGATTAAACCTACTATAGTACTTTTTTGTAGGATTTGCTCATAGTAAAGCCTTTAGAATTTCCTCATAGCAAAGCCTTTAAAATTTACTCGTAACAAAGCCTTTTGGATTTACTTATAGCAAATTCTATGTGATTGACTCATAGCAAATCCTACAGGATTACTAATAGCAAATACTATAGGATTGACTCATAACAAAGTCTATAGAATTGACTAAGCAAATCATATAGGATATACCCATAGGAAAGTTTATAAGACACATGTTTATGTCTCTTTATTTGTTTGTCTGGCTGCAGATAAATTGGTTAAACTGTTTTTGCACAAATTAAAATGATTAATATTTACGACCAATTAAAATAAGTACCAAAACTCAGATTTTATATAGGAACATGCATATACTAAATTTTATATCAATATAAAAGCATTTTGCTATGGTAAAAAAGAGAGTCAAATATTTAACTAAAGTAGTTACGTATATATTAAATATTATTCTGAAACATTGTTCTTGACAATCTATAGCTAAAGCATGTGTTTTTTTATATAGCACATCATTTCAAATATTAAAAAAAAGCTAGTAAAGCGCACTTAAGTGCTTCAATTA